CAGTATATAAAAGTTCGTTTCCTGTGCTGAGCAAGGCAGTACTCTAGAATAATTCCTATTCCCAGGAGCGCAGTGACATTTTCTGTACTTTAATTCTAAATATGCAACATAGCCTACTAATGTGTAATCATTCCCATTGAATCTCTGTTCATAAATAAGACCTACAGTTAACATTGTAGATATTCAAGTTTTGGGGTCATAAAAATAAGGCTAGATTTATAAATAATGGCTGTCAGAAGAAGCTCTTCTAAATATTTTTAAAAGACATGGCAAATGCTTGGAATTTGGAGAAACATTCCATCATTCTGACAAGCTCTGGAATCAATACCTTTTGCTCTGAAATAAGCAGGAAACTGTACCTGATTCATTCCATCGATGTGGGATTTATCCCTTAATACAGAGCACTTCTCATGTTTGAATTTGTACACTGATGGAATAGGAAAGAAAACATATAGTACTGGATAATGTAAAATCTCATTGCATGGAGCCATCTAGCGGACAAGACGAAGACAACAAGAAGAAATATACTATATGCAAGTCTGATCGGGGAGGGCTGAGTGAAGATTTCTGTTCAGACATTTTCAGATGAGGAAGTATTTTTATATGAACTGTTTTGTAATGCTCTTATAACATTTTTATTAATTAGAATACCAATTTTATTTTTAAACATGCATCTTCTGGTAGCTATTCTACAGGCATAACATTCATAATAACTCGTCCTACATTCAGACGAGAACACACAAACATTCAATATAGGTTCATGCAACAAATATATTTAGATTGGCATTTTTGGTTATATTAAAAATCCATTTAAATACACATATCATTATATGGAACAATGTCGATAGAAACACAAATTCATATGTGCTTGTGTGCATTAACTAAGTGCATATGAGCCTGCTTACATATTCAGATTTATTTCAGTGTACCTGAGATGCATAAAAATATATCAAATGAAATTTACTACAGTTGCATTTAATTTCTTCATAAACTGTTCATCTGTAATATTTATTTTATTTTATTTATTATTTTTATTATTCATATTTCTATGCCGCCCACTCTCCGAGGACTCTGGGCAGCTTACACCAAAAACAGTATACTAAATAGCATATTGCCCCCAACAATCTGGATCCTCATTTTACCCACCTCGGAAGGATGGAAGGCTGAGTCAACCTTGAGCCGGTGAGATTTGATCCGCTGATCTGCTTAACTAGCAGTCAGCTGAAGTAGCTGCAGTACTGCACTCTAACCACTGTGCCACCTCAGCTCTATAGTTTGTTAAGCCACATGGTAAATTGTATCCTTAAGTCTTAGTTTTCTGGTTAAATGCAGAGGTACATAATAGACTGTTCCTCCCTACTTAATTCATGATTGTCTTATTATCACAGTATGATTACACATAAACAAGAGTAGTAAATTACCACTTGCTCAATGATTGTTCCTATTTTTGCTGTGTATATGAATGAGATGGGTAGACCAGAAGAGAATTTTCTTTTGAGATCGGAAGTCAGTTTGAAAGACAGGACATTTTAGTTATATATGCTTTTTTCCCTACAATACAGGTGATCCTCAACTTACAACCATAATTGAGCCCAAAATTTTCGTTGTTAAGCAAAAAATCTGTTAAGTAGTTTTACCCCATTTTATGACTTCTCTTGCCACGTGTCTTAAATGAATCACTGCAGTTGTTAAATTAGAAACAGGGTTGTTAAGGGAATCTGGTTTCCCCACTGACTTTGCTTGTCAGAAGGTCACAAAAGGGAATCACATTACTCTGGGACACTGCAACTGTCATAATTGTGAATCAGTTGTCAAGCATCCAAATGTAAATCACGAGACCATGGGGATGCTAGAATGGTCCTAAGTGGGAAAAATGTCATGTCGCTTTTTTCAGTGCTGTCGTAACTTCGAACAATCACTAAATGAACTGTTGTAAGTCGAGGACTACCTGTATACGCACAACAACTATTTCTCACAGTGTTTCCAAGCTTCATTGAACTAGATATTACCTTACTCAAGCTCTTTTGAAAATTGTTATTATTACCTGTGATATTACCTGTTATTATACCTATTAAGAAAGCCTAATCAGCTTTAGCTTAGCTTAAAGTTTATACTACCTTTTTTACATGAGTTCAAAATCGTTCACAATACTTAAAGTGAGAACATTAATTTCTACAAATCATTCACAGTCCTTTGCTACTTTGACAATTTTAAAATATTTTGGTTCTAATTGAACGCAGATTACTTATGCAATTCAATACATTTTTAATACTGGATTTATAAGAATGCTTATTTAGGAGTAAGAATTAATGCTTATTTAGAAATAAGAAATTAATATCAAATTGATCATGATTAGTATTGCAAATATCCTTCTTATCCTTATTTAACCCAAGTGCATAAACTTTTCATATACTTATTGCTGTAACAAAGGAAAAACGGGTTTAAATAATAATTTGTCATTGTACGTGTATACACAGTATACCCATATAACAAAATTCACTTAACACCAAAAATGAGCATGTATAATAATGACAAAAAAAATACCCAAAAGAAAAAAGTCACAAAGGGATTTTGATCTGTGTTACCTGTAACTTTTATGTAAGCATAATTAGTTTTGCAACCTTATTTTAATATCCAATCGGCAGTGGAATTCAATAAAATGTGTATGTATAATTATGTATTTTGTTAATCTCAGGGGGCTTTCAATGGGGAGGGCTATGTTTCTTTCTCTACGGGGTCCCACCCAAAATCTCTCTTACAAGAATTTGAAGTTTCCTCCAGCTGCCACCTCCCTTTTTCGGGGACTCGTCCTGCTCCACCCTGCCTGATTCTGCTGCCGCCCAGCGGAGTCATCACAGGGTTAAGCTGTCAGCGCTGTAATGTTAAACAGGTGTCAAAGGCGCTTCGATATATCTGCAGATTGAAATCAAATTCTTTGCTGTATAAAAAGATAAATTACCCAGGCGATTCCCGCCTCGGCCCACTCATCAGGACAGCGCCAGACGGAGAGCAATTTTTTTTTTAATGTGCTAACGACCTAATCAAGCAATCAAGTCGGAGAAGATTGCTGAGTGACCCCCCGAGCATCCATCTGCCAGCGAGCCCCCACCATTCATTTCCATTCCGCCGGGGACGGCGCGTGGCTTCCCTGGAAAGGAGGGAGAAAGAGAGAGAGAGAGAGGAAAGGGAGGGAAAGAACAGGAGGGGGGGGGGCTTAAAAAAAACCCACCCCTAAACAAATTAACACCCAATTTTCTAGCTTAATTAGTTAAATGAGAAAAAGCTGGTGGCTGCGGTGTGGGGCTTATACTTGCCGCGGAAGGGAGGGGTGACTGTCTCGTGGAGAATCGAGCGAGAACTTCACTACCACCACGGCATTAATTAGCGCGGGTCAATGGCGCCGATCCCCAGGGAGCAGCCGCTTTAATTTCCCGTGGTATTTCAGTGCCTGAGGCCCATCGATTCAAACTGAAATTAACTTATTTTTCAATCAGGCCTGGGCTGCCCCTGGAGCTGACTCTTCCTTTACCTCCTCCTGAATAGACCGCGAGCAATTTTTCATCTCAAAAGCTGAGGCTTCTCTCCGAAGCGGGAAAAAGGCGAAGGGAGAGCAAGTGCGCCCCCCCCCCCACTCCAGGCTCTAATAGATTTCTGCTAGGCTCGCCGCCGAAATGGTGGAAGCCTTGATGCCGCCAACGGGATGTGTTTGCGCTACCCAAGAGGGTTAAAAAGCAGTCGACATTGTACCCCATCTCTCTCCATCGCCTGGTGGCCTCTAGAAGTTTTTATTGCGTTCTCTATATAGTCCGAGCACTCCTCGTTTTTCATTTCTGTCTTTTTGACCTCCGTTAAATAGAGGCAAAAATCCAGGCTACTTGCCCAAAAGACATAATGAGAATTAATTATAGTCCTGCACTGAGCTATCTGACTCTGTATTATCATACTGTTCAGTTGGAAAAGTATGCACAGTTTTACTTAGACCTTGTATGAAGTGAAGTCTGAGATTGCACTAAGAGTCCATTGGAATTTGCAAATCACATTCAGTTCCATTGTGGGAGTGTCCATATATAATTTAAACATGAAACAATTCAGTATGAACCAGGACAGAGAATTCACAGTCTGGGTCATTATAATCTTGGCATTACCCTTTTGAGCAGAACAAAGGGATATTAAGGGGAAGTTATTTGTCCAATGGAATTCTTTTGCCTAATTTTGTAAAAAAAGCAGATTTTGGCAATATGCAAGCAACTAGGAGGCTGTGCTAGTTAGGGTATGTGAATGGCAATGAGTTACGAAAACAATGAAATTATGCTAGCTTGATCCTGAATTAACCATCTGTATTTTATATTAGAGTATTGTGAACTCAGCTGTTACATTTTGCTTTCTCATCCAAAGTATTCTGCAAATTGAGCTGAGCAAACCATGCTTCAGTTAATTGTGTCTATCTTCCCATCAAAATACCATGGCCCCATATGCAGCTTTTACCTTGTTCAGTCAAAACAGATTTTGGCGAGTCAGTTTGCAAGTAAATGTAATGAAAATAAAAGCTATTAAAATATCTAGCTGTATTTGGTGGCGGCAGGGAGAGTGAAAAATTCTGCCATATGTCTGACTGGGAAGTTATTACAGGAAGGGAGGGAGGGAGGGAGGGAGGGAGGAAGGAAGGAAGGAAGGAAGGAAGGAAGGAAGGAAGGAAGGAAGGAAGGAAGGATGGATAAATGGAATGTTCTGGGCTCAGAAAAAAAAAACAGTTTTGTTTACTGGTCCCATTCTCAATCAAGCCAAGTGGTTTCATCTCATTCCCAGTCAAAGAATGAAATAGTCTTGGATCATCTTTAGGCATACTAGTTTTAAAATACAAACAACCCTTCACTGGACTAGTCAGTGCCTTTTATTCTGTTTTACGTATTCATCTATTTAAATTGGACTCATTAGAGTTCAGTAATCATATGACAAATAAAAATTATACTTTCCTTATTAAACAATCTTTTTTATTGCAGGTTTGGTTTCAGAACCGACGGGCCAAATGGCGAAAGAGAGAAAAATGCTGGGGAAGGAGCAGTGTAATGGCAGAATATGGCCTGTATGGTGCAATGGTTCGTCACTCCATCCCACTGCCAGAATCCATACTGAAATCAGCCAAGGATGGCATAATGGAATCCTGTGCTCCTTGGCTGTTGGGTAAGAGTTCAGTCTTGAGAACAGATCTATATTTTGTTATAGCCAGAGTCCCTGGCAGGGTTCTGACAGAGTGGAAGGGAATTAAAGTAGCATTTCCTAGTACTGTGCCCTCTATGTGATTTGGATTACTAGCCATGGTAGAAGGTAGATAATGGGTCTTTAGGCTAACACACCTGGAAGATCTGTTCAGAAAGCTTTTATTGTGTAAAATAGGTAGAATAGGAAAGAAATATCTGTACATGGATTACTTATAGACATAAAGCTCAACTATGGCCTCTCTACTGAATCTAGAGGTTGCACAGATCAGCATGTATGGCTACCAGTAACACTTTTTAATGGAAGGTTTTATTAAACTTTATGGAATATAAAACCTTTATGTCTAATGCTAATAGTCTGTGTTTTATATTATGCTCCCACAATGTCTTTGCTAAAAACATTCTTCATATTTTCTCAGCAGTTTACCACATGATAAACTGTTATTATGGTGAGAATCCCCTGCCAGATGTTCATGCTGGCTTTTGATAACTTTGATAAACTTTTGATAACTTTGAGCAAAACATTTGGAGATCCTTTAAAGGTTTTTAGAAGCTTTCTAATTCAGAAAATAGTAATCACGATTCATGGTATAAGAAATATATTTAAGGGTTTGGGTAGATTTATGCAAATAAATTGACCTTGATTTACCCCCATTCATTTAGGTAAATTATTCAAATTTACCACAGCACTGTAAAAAGAGACTTATGACTTGTCCTTGCACTTATGACTATATGTCCCCACAGTCAAATGATCAAAATTTGGGTGCTTCACAACCAGCATGTATTTACGATGGTTTCAGCATCCCGGGTTCATGCAATTGCCATTTCCAATCTTCCTAGCTGGCTTCCAACAAATGAAGTCAATGGGGGAACCTGGATTTGCTTAACAAGTGTGTGATTCACTTAACAACTGCAGTGATTTGCTTATCAACTTTGACAAAAAAGGTTGTAAAATTGGTGTGACTCATTTAACAACTGCCTTGCTTAGCAATGGAAATTCTGGTCCCAGTCATAAATTGAGGACTACCAGTGTAAGACGACCTCTGCTGGATCAGACCAAGAATCTTCCTTGTCCAGCATTCTTTTTGATGTCTCTGGAAGTTTACAAACAAATCTTGAAAACAATTGCATTCATAAATTCCAAAATTCTTGGTCAGCCTTGGTATTATTTAAGAGGAGACCAAAGGATAAATTTCTTTTCACCTCCACTCTTAGGCCTTCCTTTCAGGAGCATCCTAGCATGGCAGATTGATGCCTGGAGTGCAATCTGATCAGTTAGATGAGAGGTCTTCAAACTTGGCAGCTTCAAGACTTGTGGACTTCAGCTCCCAGAATTCTCCAGCCAGCATAGCTGGAGAATTCTGGGAGTTGAAGTCCACAAGTCTTAAAGCTGCCAGGTTTGAAGAGCTCTGAGTTAGATGGTAGTCAGATGAAAAGTCCATTCTCAACAGTGTTAATTGTGCATAAAGAAGCCTTTTTCCCTTCTCCCCTTCCTCCTGTGTGCCAAGCACTGTGGAGACTCAGCTGCAAACAAATCCTATATGCAAGTAACTTAACTATGACAAATTTGCCTGATATTTTAAAGCTATTTAAATATAGTAGCTGATTTTCTCATGCACTCCTGTTTCTTCCTTAGCTTTTCTTTTCTGCTTTTCAAGACTAATTTCTTCAAATTTAACACCTGGCTTCTTATAAATGTGCTGCTTCATTCTTCAGTCTACAAGAAAGTGAGAATTGAAAGGACGGGGTGGATGGTATACGTTAGGGAAAGGAAAGCAGCCTGTAGGTGTTAGCATTTCCCTCATCAAGCTTTGTTTCACATACAGATTCACTTCTGTATTCGGTGAAACTCTGCAGCCTAATGGGATTAGGGAGTGCTGTCTCTTTACTTTCTTCTGCCCTAGTCCACTAAACTGCAGGGATAACAGGTTTTGTCATTTTGCTACCTTAGAAATCTTTGTGTTTTTTTATAAACATAGATTCCTTTTGTAACCCTGCTTTTTGCGCTATTTAAGGACAGTTCATTCCCACACAGGATGTTTCTTCCTCCTCCAATCTAAAATATGCAGATTTGACCTCAGAGTTCAGACACAAAGATAAATATATGTAGGTGGAACACTGGTGTAAGTTTCTCCTCAAGCCTGGCTGTTTCTGTCAGAGAATTAGCTGGAGGTCTTCCTCATGCAGGGCCCCTTCATTGGGCTCTCTGTGTGACTGCTGTTTGAAGCAAGGCTTTCTGCTTTTCCTTAATTCTGGCCTTTCTTTATCTTTACTGTTTTCAGTTCAAGATGGCTTTCCCATGCCCAGGCGCTTTTCTAAACCCGAATACCAACAATTCTTTTTAGGGATGCACAAAAAGTCTCTGGAGGCAGCGGCTGAGGCAGGAAGGAAGCCGGAGATGGAACGCCAGGCCCTGCCCAAGCTTGACAAGAGTGACAAGGAAGAAAGGGGGCCAGATTCCAAAACCACCATTTCCCAGGAGGAACTCAGAGAGAACAGCATTGCTGCCCTCAGGGCCAAAGCTCAGGAGCATAGCACCAAAGTCCTGGGGACCATCCCTGGAGATCCTCCTACCCCAGTCAGGAAGCCAGAGAAAGAGGAAGAGGCAGCCACGGCAGAGGATGACCGGCAAATGGAAAAATCAGATTTATTACAAGAGGATGAAAAACTGGTTTAGAAGGAAGGGATGATGGGAAATCAGCCATCTTCTTGAAGACTGACTCATCTAGTAGCTTCAGCCTCCTCTCAGACTAATGGGGTCCTTCCTGTAGTCCCTTCTCACCTGGAGGGTGGATCCACTTGATCTCTATACATTTCAGGAAATCACAGGCTAAGGCCATCTTGTGTTGGGTGTGTTCAGAGACTGATTCCCGCAGGAGCATATTGCCCCTGCAATCTTTGCGCTCAGGAGCCCTTGGGCTCTGCCTCCCTCCATTTCAAGAAGGGAGAGAAAGGTGGACATTGAATACCTTCACAATTTATTATTATATTGCCCCCCCCCCACCTGCTATTCAGCCTCCATTACTCCATTTTCACTTCATCTTTAAAAATAATCATCTCATTATCTAGATTCACACATTGTGATAAGCCATGCTTTATTTTAACCATGATGTTTTGAGTAAGCTTCAATGTTTTACTGTCACATTTAAGCCATATATCTTAGTTTACAAGTTACGGTATTTGACTCAGACAACATACTAAGCCAAAGCAAACAAACCATATAATGGCTTACCATGCTGTCTGTACTCAGTGATCAAAATAAGTATTTTTCTCCTTGACTCGGTCAGGTTGTTAGCTTTCCCAGAAGAGAATAAAAGGCTTAATTATGCATATTTATATTTTCATTTAAAACTGCCCATTGTCTGACATTAAGGCTATATAATAAAGGAACCAATCTTTTTCCAAAAAATCAATCCAAACTTAAAAATTGATCAGGTGGCAACCCTATCTCATACTGAGTTTGTTCGTGATTACGGTATCAGCATTGTTGATTGAAGAGGTTCAGCTGCCCTACTCTATTAACACAATGTGAACCTTGCCTAAATAATATCTAATTTTGGACTGTTTAAGGTATTCAGCTGTAGCTTGTCACAGCCTGCCTTTGCTTACTATCTTGAAATAAGTATGCCATTTTTCCCTAGAGCATTTCAGGAGAAATCATATCAATAAAATAAAATATACTTGTACAACACTGAGTTGATTCCAGTGAAGATTATATTCCATATATTGTAAAATAATCATGAATTGCTTGGTTGGGAATGGAGCACTTAGGTACCAAGACTATCTGGATGCCATATTGTGTAATTCAGATCCCAGCCATTTTTTCCAATCTTTTATGTTTAGCTTTAGATAGGGTAGTTGATGGTGTGAGAAATGCATCTAAGAGATAAATTCCAGTTGTTATACTTGATATTCAATATCCCTAAGTGACTGTGAATAATGACTTAATTAAGCAAGAGCGTGGTTTCATCTGCTTTTGAGCCTGGATGGCTTCCTTATGGTTCACAAATTCAAGTCAAGAGATAGAGAGTAAGACTTACCTCTAGTAGTGATGTTTCTTGAGAAAGAAACTTTCACTTACGTTTTAGAAACCTATTAGTACTGCATTGTGTTTAACATGAAAATTCTATCAGAAGTGTTTGATCATAGTGATCATTCATTAACTATCTTTGCTTGGTGTTGCAGTCAGCAAATGGTAAAGATAGAATCACAATACTGTATTAGCAAATACTTATAATCAGTTTATGGTCATTTAAGTAATCATAATAAAATCAAGTCATGTACACATTGCCTAAGAAATTCAGTTTCATAAGAACACGGCTCTCTTCTTTTTCAGTGAAGGCCCATGATAGCAAGTCCCCATTTTTTTTCTGTCTTTATTTTTAACCAGCTGTTTTATTTATGATTGATTTTCCTTGCTGATATAATCCTTTTCTATGTCTCCCAGTTATCTGGTGTTTTAGATTATAACTCATGGTGTGTAAATATTGTATATATGGTAAGAAAAGTTGGTATTTGAGGTGTTTTAAGATAAAAAGCTGTAACAACTAGTCTTTGAAACTTGTGATTTTGTGCCATTTTTCTGTAAAGATATAAATCAGAATAAATCCAAACTGAAGATGAACAAGAATGATGCAGTATAACTAATAAGTGCTGTTTAGATATTGCAACACAGGCAGTATCTGAATCAAATAAAATCCTTTTTATGGCCTTTAGGCCACAATGGGCTGTATCTCAGCACAAGACAAAAATAATACAAAAGGGACATTTACAGCACATTAGTAACTCTATAGAAAGCTTCAATAAGATATTTGATTAGTATTGCTGCTTTTCTGGCCTTCAATGCATAACAGAAGCTTAAAACAGTGAAGCTTTTAAGAGAAATCACCAAGTTTAGATGAATCCCCCCGGCCTTAATGCTAAATGAGATGAACCACTTCCAACACTTCTCTTTTAAGCACTGAGGAAGACTGCATTGTTTCCAACACTTGAATCAAAATGCCAAGACACATTATGTCCAGTTGTGTCCATTCTGGATTCTTATAATTATATCGGGCTGAAAAAATACCCAAAACAAAAATCAAAATTATTTCTCAAAACAGCTCATGAATTTATTAAACTTTACTATCCTTACTAATATTAGGAGAGAAAGCCACTGGGGACAAATTCATCAGCCACCATTACTTCAGCACCAGAAATAAGATTAAACATAAAGATGCCAGAGAACAGCTGACTTTTAATACTTTGCCATCATATTGCAAACTGCCTTTTTCTCCAATACTTGTTCATCACTTAGATTTACAGGAAAATCTGGTTGAAAGAGGACCAATAATAGTCTGGTAATGTTTTGAATTCTACTGAATATTATTCTACTAATATTACTCCCTCCATCATTCTTGCTATTGGAGGAGAGGATAGATACGGAGTCACTGATTATTTGTTCCTATTGTGTTTTGATGTTTTCTGTGTCTATATTTGCATTGCATAATGGATTTTTTTTCTGCTCAAAAGTTTTATACATGAGTTTTGAATATTTATTTACCATAATTATAAATATTGAGTTCCTACTAGTTACTAATCCCATCTAGATTTGTTAACATGTTGAAGCATTACATATTTCAGAACCATCCATGAATACTTTCCTTGCTGATATTAAGAACGTACAAGTGCATTAAAAAGTTATACGTTTAAATTCCACGAAAAGCTACATATTCCATATTTAAGTTCCATTGTTTCACCTTATATTCTTAATGCTTATAGTTTGCTCTTTTGGTTAACCTTTTTGGATTTTTGTTATGCAAAATACATAAAGAAATAGATGTACTGGTAAGTATGTAGAAAAGAATTTGAGCATTTCTCTGGATCAATTATTCTATATGGTTACTTTACATTAGCTTAAATCGCTAGAGTTATTGAAAATTAAAGAAGGCCATACATTTGAACACCATTATTTAACTACTGTAGATCAGGATTGTTTAGAAATAGATGTGCAGATGATAAAGAGCAAAATGGTTTTTGCCTTTTTTTATTTATAAGAGTGTTGGTGCTATATAAATAATGCATTTTTTAAAAAAGAAGTATTAAACCTTAGTATTCAGCTGTCAGAAGTTTAACAGTATTTTGATACCTTGTCCCTCCATAACCTGGGTTCAATCTTTAAAATACCTACATTCTTCCTTTTTTCTTGCTCTGCTCCTCTCATGGTAGTACTCAACTATACAAGGCTAAAAAGAATATTGTTAAAATTACTGTCTGAGTCTCCTAATTATATTATTGTAGGCTTTTGACCTTAATGCAGGGGTTTCCCAATTATGGAGCAAATCTGGGGGAGAAGGATCATGAGGTTGTAGACCCAGCCGAAACCTCTCCATCTTGTCCAGTTAGCTTTGCACATTGCTCACCCACTAGTACTCCAGAGATGCTGGAGGAAGTTGCACATAGCCACTTAGGCCAAGCAAAAGCAGTTCTTCTGAAAGCAGCCCTTGCTATAGTAGAGCCTCTAGTAAGTACACACAGTCTGAGAGGGCTCCTTCAGATTTGCATCAGGCGTGGGTAGTACCTTTACTACCGGTTCGCAACGGGATCGTGCACGTGCCTTCTGCACATGCACAGATCGCCAATGACGACATCCGGGGCAGTGGACGGGGCCTCCCACCAGTTTTACTACTAGTTCTTGCGAACCAGTCCAAACCGGGGGTAACCCACCACTGATTTTCATGTTTTCACTGGAAGCATAGCTAGGATGGATTACTCCCGGTAGATGGAAAGCTGCTTAGTTGGAACTTTGTGAGGAGGTGTGGGATACTTATACTCCTTTCTTGGTGATAGGGTGAGAGTGGCGGGAGCCCAATCCAGAAGGAAGCAATGCTGGCTGCACTCTATTACTGCTTCACCCTGGATGTGGACACCTGTGTGCTAAAGGAAAGTGGAATGGAACAAGTGGCAGGTGCATCTGCCATAAATTCTGTGAATTGTGGAAAAAAGCTGCTGCTGGATGATAACATGAGCTTTGGAGGTCTGATTGGCTTGCTGCTGCTTCTTCATGGAGGCCCTGGGTCTATGGCCCTGCAGGAAAAGAGTATCTCCCTATCTTTCTGTGTAAAACTGGGGCAGCTTCCCTGATAGAAAGGATGCCAGCTAGAAGGATGCTGTGCTGCCCCTGCCCCTGGTTATGTTTTAAAGGCCTGGAAACCTTGGCCAAGGTTTGGGTCTCCCACCCCCATTCCTTGCTGCATTGCTCTTGGGAATCTGGGATTGGAGAAGGTATTATAATGGATCTCCTCTGTAGGTGGTTAAAAAAAGTAAGATGGTGGCCATAACAGTGTGATCTAAGCTCCACCAATTTTTTTTTTATTTTTGTGTGTGTGTGTGTACTACACAAAAAATAGGCTTGATCACACTGTCATGGCCACCATGTTACTCTTTTTGTATCATATACTATACATACCCCACATTAGAGGGAAAATATTTCTGTGGGCAGAGGGCTTTTAGGCTTTCTTGCTGCTCTTAAAAGGTATCAACCAAGCAGACCCCATATTTCTCTTTGAAGATGGGTAGAATTGGAAATCTTGCTGGGCTTGCTAGAAAAAAAATTCTTGCATTAAATGTGACATTTTAAAACACTTGTCTGAGCCTTACTTGAAATGAATAAGAGCATTCCCTTACTAATTTTTCCTAGCATTGTTTAGCCACCCATGTGCCTGTAAATCAGGAGGGAAAGTAGACTTTATTTCTTCCAATGCAATGACTAAGAGATGCTATAAGACACTATAAATTACAAGTGCTGAAATGGCTTTAGCTTGCAAAAAAAGGCCCAATATTAAAGGTCTTCGTTGGTGTAGCTGCTGGCTTGGGACAGTCAAGTATGAGGCTGAGTGCCCATAAATTACATTAGGTTTGCTTGCAAAGCTGGAGCCCTGTCAGACTGTGCTTCAGGCTTTCTGCAGCCATTTTGCCAGGACTGTTTCAATTAATGTTGAGTAAATTTCACTGATTATCTTCGTAATGATAAACAAGAAACCAGATCTTTGACCATCACATGCCTTCGAAAATATACTTTTTGTCAGCGATGGCGCATCATTTATGCTACAGTTAGGAGTTCACATAACATTAAAGGTTTTTCCTCCACAAAAGAAATACATTACAGTACTTACCCTATTTTGCTCTTTCCCTTTTTAGTAGAGTTACATGTTTTCTCTGGGCTTACTGTTTTCTTTGAGTAGCCAGCATTATTTAATTTTTTCTTCACTTCAGATCTGCTAACACAACTCAGTCCAATCATCTCTAACCCTAAACTTCGTATAGTCTTAAGGCAGAAGTCACAAAAGATGGCAGCATCTAGTTAATCTTGGCTGACCTCAAAAAAGGAGAGCAAGGTACTTGGGCAGTAGATCACCAATAAGCCAGATAAGCTAACCTGGAAAGTTCAATTTAAAATCTTTACAATAGGGTCAAAATTCTGAAATTTAACAATATCAAGGCCTTCTAAAATGATAAATTTATATGACCATTCCTCATGAATAATAATAAATATTATTTATATAATAATAAATAATAATATAATATAATATATAATAATAAATATTTGAATAAATATTGAACCTGGAAAGTTCAATTTAAAATCTTTACAATAGGGTCAAAATTCTGAAATTTAACAATATCAAGGCCTTCTAAAATGATAAATTTATATGACCATTCCTCATGAATAATAATAAATATTATTTATATAATAATAAATAATAATATAATATAATATATAATAATAAATATTATTATTCATGAGGAATGGTCATATAAATTTATCATTTTAGAAGGCCTTGATATTGGAGAAAAAACTTACATGACTAGTTTGATAGATGGTTAAACCCACTGTTTAGCCACCTGTCAGAACTTGCTCTGGGCTACTTGCACAAATCGTTGTAGGATTGCCCATAAAAAACAGGGGTAAATTGTGACAAAGCTCCTGCTCTGCCTATGCAAGCCTGATAGGACTTTAATATATATATTTGCAATCTTCCCTCTACTTTGCAGACAGTTCCTTGGGGATATCATGATCCCCAGTTTGAGAATTCCTGTTATATCTCAAGCTTTGACAAAAAAACAATTGCCCAGAGCTAACAAATTTCTTTCCATTCTTCCACATGCTGATGTGGAAGCCATCCTACCACAGATTTAGGGAGAAACCCTTGAGCCCTTCTCTTATATTGTGGAGAAAAAAGACTCGTAACTGGTTATGCTACATCAAGGATGGTGCATAATCTTTATTAAGAGGTTTTTAGTCATAGACATTGTTAGAATATTAATAGCATCTGAATGGAGTAAATTAAGACATTTAATATTTGTGAGTTACTTTTCAGTCTTTTGCACAGGACAAGTAAGAGCTTTTATAGCAGGGCCTATCAATGTCAAAGCCATTCCTTGTTTTTTGCTAGTAGCAAAGACAATAATTACATCACTGTTGCTTTTGTTTAAAGTTAAGGTGATTAGTCACATGCTGTTTGGCTGGCTGATTTGAAATTATAAAGACCTAAGTCTTCTAAAAGCAATGTGGTCTAAATGTCTTAAGAGCTATATTGCAAGTTTCTTGGAACGTGTCCATCTCATTATTGTACAAGGACTCTGGAATAACTTCTTTAGAGGCTCTGCTTTGTCAACTAAACTTTGGACTAAAATTGATTTCTATTGATTTATCCCTTTACTCTTTGAGATTTTGGAATAGTTTTTTTATTTCTTGGAAGAAACGGATTGAATTTGACGTTAAGGTACTATGGATTTTAAGAAAGCAAAAGTAAGTCAAGGCAATGTGTGTTTGATAGTAATCCTCAGAAAGAATTGGCTAGAGGAAAAAACTGAGAAACTATGCATGCGTTACTGTGTTGCCCATTCTATATGGCCTGAGCACAAATTTATTAATGTTCCTTGTTCAATTGCATTGGTAAGTAAGGTGAGGATTATATCCAAAATCTTGGTAAGGGTTGCCAAGTTTTATTCCACAGCTATTGTTATAGATGGAGAGAGAAGCACACATACACACAAACACACACACTTGCATATACACATATATACACTTATATGCATAAACACATTAAATATTATTTAGATTGGTTTAATTTTTTTATTTCCCTAACTTTAAATATATTTATTTGCTGCTGAAGGTTTTTTAAACATTGTCAATAGGCATGTGAATGAAGATGGTTCTTTTGACATAACTAGTTTTCTGATATAGTCT